AGGAGATCGGGCTGAAACTATAGCTACAAGCTATCCAAGGATGGTACTATAGAATGTCACCTCAAGGTAGGCCTAGTGGCGTCATCTCTTGGTTAGGCCGGAAACTTATCAATCCACCCTCGTATGTTCCATCGTTTACCAATGGCCCCCGTTTTAATTTGAAAAAAAGGCCATGACGTTGATGTCAAAATTTTGATTCAAAATAGGGTTGTAGATGTGTGTGTGTCATCAGTATACTTTGTACCAGTACTTCAAATAAATACATTTTGTTTTTCCAACTATCCTCGAAGTTCTTTTCATACTTTCCCTAAGATAGCAGTTGCCTTTTTGTTTCTTATTTGCTCTTCGTTTCCGTCGTTCTTCTGTATGAAGCAGCCTAGGTAGTTGTACTTTTTTCCTTCTTCAATTTCTTTTCCTTCCCATGTAAATATTATCTTTTTCATTCTTCCGCCACTTTTCCTGCTTCTCATTGTCTTCGATTTATCTCTAGGCCTCTCTCTGCGATGTATATTCCCATTTTTCTCACCATTTCTGTCGTCCCCTCTTCATTGTTCGCCATTAATACTTTCTTCTTTCCCATTTGAATTTCTCTCTTTGTATTTTCTAGATCCGCAAAAGCTAGGTTGAAAAGAGCTGTACTCAAGGGACATCCTTGTCTTACCCCGTTAATCGTGCTAATGTTTTTAGAAATTTCGTCATTGATTCTCACTTCATATATTTCTTCTATTCTTTTCCTTAACTTCATATTTATTCCAAATTTTCTTTCTGTTTATCCTGTCAAAGGCTCCCTTCATATCAGCAAAGAATAGGAAGATTTCTCCTTTTTCTTTCTTTATATATTTCTTCCTCAATGGCCATCCGTACTATCTATACTGCATCCAGTGTCCCTCTCCTATTCCTGTATCCTATTTGTGTATCATCCATGAGGTTTTTCTTTTCCATTTCTGTCTCGAGCCGATTTTTTAGTATCACCGCGTATATTTTATATTCAGTGTCCATAAGTGTAATTCCTCTATAATTTTTTGTCTCGTCTTTGTTTCCTTTTTTGTATATTGATGTTACAATGCTCATCATCGATTCTTCTGGTAATTTTACGTTAAAATAGGGTTGTAAATAACTTTATTGATGTAAAACCAACATCAATAAAAAAAGCATTTTTGTATTGATCTTTTACACATCAGAAGGAGAAAAATGAAATACATAGTTTCTTTAGCTTTAGGTTCAACTAATAAGTCAAGTTTGTGAATTCGAACCCCAATATCTGCAGTTTTCAGGTTTTCACGGAAGGTGTGCATCTATTTGATATTGTTTTCCGGGTTGTTTTGTGATGGTCCATGGAATTTTGCAGTTCCTTGCTGAAGGCATCTTCAGTGGTGATTTGGAAAGTGCTGAATTGTGACTGATGTCAGTCAGAACTGCAAATTCCATGGACTACCAGAAATGGATAAACCAAAATATTTTGGATTCGATAGTGTTTTCCGGACTGTTTTTCTCATAGTCCGTTGAATTTGCAGTTTTGATTGACATCAGTCAGAATTCAGCACCTTCCAAATCACCATTGAAATTACCTTTAGCAAGGGACTGTGGAATTTCCATAGATTAGTAGATAATCCAAAATACTGTGGATTCGATAGTGTTTTTCCAGACTGTTTTTCTCATAGTTCAAAGAAGATGCCTTCAGCAAGGAACCGCGAAATTTATTCATATTTAATATATCTTCAGGTTACAGTCAGTGTGTTCTAAAACCCAAGACAACAGAGGAAGTTTCCAAAATCTTAAAGTTTTGCAACTACAACCACCTAGCCGTGTGTCCGCAGGGTGGAAATACGGGTCTTGTTGGGGGATCAGTACCAGTATTTGATGAAGTGGTCTTATCCACAGCCTTAATGAACAATATTATTGATATCGATGATGCATCAGGTAACATTTATTGCATTAAATTTTCTTTTTTATAGTTTTATAATTTAAATATTATAAAAACAAGATTCTACAATGAATATAATTTATCAGCAGATTATTTATAATTGCTAGAGTCGGTGGTGTTTTGGTGTTGCCAAAAACTAAGTGATTTATGTATCTTAAAGACCTTACTAAAAATTTTGATTATTTAATGCCGAAATGTCGCCATAACATAGAGACTTGAAATTTAATAATTTCACTATTTCGAAACCTGTGAGCTCCTGGGAACATAAAAGTTCGAAATAACAATAAGCCTAATGTTTTTCCATTGATTCATGTTTCTCTGTAGGTGTGCTAGTTTGTCAAGCAGGATGCGTGCTGGAAGTTTTAGATCAGGAAGTAGGGAAGCAAGGACTAATGATGCCCTTAGACTTGGGAGCGAAGGGTTCCTGTCACATCGGCGGAAATGTATCCACAAATGCTGGAGGACTTCGATTAGTGCGCTACGGTAATCTGCAGGGAAGCGTGCTTGGCCTTGAAGTGGTACGAAAGCATATACAGGGTGATTAAAAAAAATGTGTAAATGGTCGATATACGTTCCTTAAAAAAAATATAAATATTTTTCGTATTCACGCTCTAATTAAAAAGAAAATTAAAACACAATCTGTAAACACTGCTATTTTATTATATTCTATATGTGTACACGTTCCATTAGGTCAAAGCAAATGGAGAGGTTTTAGATTTATTGAGCACCCTTAGAAAGGACAATACTGGATATCATTTAAAACACTTGTTCATTGGCTCGGAAGGCACATTAGGAATTATTATTTAGTGTTAGTCAGTTTGACAAACTGGTAAAAGCTTTCGCGGCCAGAGTTGGGATGTTTTCAGTATAATCGATGAATGAGACTGTAGTTCCATTTTTTGTTTTATTTTGTGTTTTTTTTTAAAGAAACCATTAATTTTGTTATTCATTTCACATTCAACAAAAGAGGTTATTTAGTAGACATTTCAAATTAGTTGTAAACTGCAAAGTTTACTTATTTTATATAAAATTTCACAGGAAACTAAACGCTTCGCTTTTGTTTTATTTTTCCCGAAACAAGAAAGTTACACAAGGCACAAGGGAAAGTGTCCTATACAGTAATTTGTATCTGTGAATCAATGATAGTTTTGTGTTTATTTGTATTTCGTATCAAAGTAGCTCAAAAGTTTTACACAATACAATATTAGTAATAAAATCTCAGTATGCATGAAATGATGAAAAACGATAAATGTTTTGTGATATTACAGTTTAATAATTATTAATATTCAACTCAACTAAGTATCTTCAAATAAGGAAATTAAATGTTGCTATCAAATAATAAATAGATGCAGGAAATATTATCGAACTTTGTATAAAGCAACACCCTGACCGTTGCCCTTAAAATACAAATACAAAAAAGATATATAAAAGACAATTGGGCATTAAAAATGCATAATAATATACCACATGAAAATTATATGAAGTGTAATACCAGTTATTGCATGTAACTGAATAAATAGTTTATTAAATGTGAAAGTGTAGGTACATTACTACTATTCTAAAAACCTATAAAAGGTAGGTAATGACCACATAAAATATTATTCCAACAAGACCATAAATACATGCAATTTTAAAAGAATAAAAAGTTAGTTTATATGCAAAAAAGTTATAGGATGAAAAGGATTGAGATGGCAGGTAATATAACAAAAGCAAAATAAGAATACAATTTCTATATTCAATTGTATAACTATATTCTCATTTAGTAGGTATTTATTTTCAGTTTGGTAAAAAAGTCCTTTAGCTAATTTTTAATATATGAAAAACAGAATCTTACTTAAGTTAATAATTACAGTGATAATTTGATAGGAAAAAAGATTGATAATAAATTATGTATTTTATTAGCTTTTCGGTAAATAATGACTATTAATTGCTTTTGTGAGAAAGCATTTTACTATATTAGTACCAAATTCAATCATTTTATTTATATTTAATACCCCTTGATGGGACATTATTCGTTGTTGCTAATTTAATTTTATTTCTTAACGTTTATTACTTTATTGAGAGACCATTCAAGATCTGTTACTTTTTAAATAATTTTTTGTTCATTTTTCTGAGATTTTTACTTGTGTGCTATAAAAGCTCGATTTTTGTCCAATTAACAAGGATAAGTAAGCTGTAGATTTTGACGAGTGAGTAATTTTTGAAAAGTTACACCATTTAGTTAGATAAAGTACAGAATTTATAGCAGAATCACAGGGATGTAAACCGTAATTTTTAGAGATTGGTTGAATTATGCTACAAATTCGAGTTAGAAAAGAAAGAAAAATTCTTTTGAAAGAATTTATTTTTGGATTGTTACGTATATAGAGTAATTTTTGTGTGTGTTCTTATGTTGTTAATGCCAATTGTTGTTAAAATCCTTTTCAGAAATATTATCAGTCTGATATTTCTTATCAGATTATGGCCTACTGAAAATCTAAAATATTATTAGATATTATAAGACAATAATAAAATTTGGATGTTTCAGTAAATTGGTTACTTGTTTTAATTTTTGCAGAGTACATAACATTAAATGATCGATCCTAAGTGGTAAAAATATATATATAAACAACCGAAACCCAGATATCTAACGAAGATATATAAATAATGCCAGGAATAATTCATGGTCGCATTACGAACGCAACGTGGAGAATCCTTTCCCAAGNTGTGCAATATTATTGATGTAAAAATACTCTGAATTTCGAATAATCGCTTACAAAATTACGATGTTTACTTAAGGCCTTAAATAAAGTATTTTTGCGTACTTTATGTGTCTTGTAAAGTATAACGTAGGCACAGTCGAAATATAGTACAATACTTTATAATAAAGTACGGGTGGCAACCCTAATTGTGCTTGAAGCACTTTTAAAGCAAATGTATGTGTCTAATCCTTTCAAGCCTTGGAAGCAGTGTAATTCAAACCCTTTCATTATTAAGCAGATGGAGCTTGGGAAAGAAATACTTTATAAAAGTGCTTAGTAATTTGTATTGACTTAAAAGTTTTCAGGCTCTTGAAAATTGAAGCATTTTGATGTAAAAATATGTTGCCAGTCTTGTCAGGCCTTAGAAGTATTGTAATTGAAATCCTTTCATGATTAAACAGTTAGACCTTGGTGAAAGTATTTCTTTATAAAAGTGCTTAGTAGTTTGTATTAACACAAAGGGTTTCAAACTCTTTAAATGTGCTTGAAGCAATTTTGAAGTAAAACTGTGGTTCCAGTCCTTTCAGGTCCTAGAAGCACTGTAATTCAAACCTATTCATGATTTAGCAGTAGGGTCTTAGTAAAACTGTTACTTTATAAAAGTGCATAGTAATTTGTATTAACTTCAAGGGTTTCAAGCGCTATCAAAGTGCTCGAAGCAGTTTTAATGTACAACTATGATTCCAGTTTTTCAGGTTCTAGAAGCACTGTTATTCAAACCCATTCATGGTTAAGCAGTAGGGTCTTGGTAAAACTGTTACTTCACAAAAGTGCTTAGTAATTTGTATTAACTTCAAGGGTTTAAGCTCTTTCAAAGCGTTTGAAGCAGTTTTAAAGTAAAACCATGTTTCTAGTTCTTTTAAGTCCTAGAAGCACAATAAGTAAAACCCATTCATGATTAAGCAGTTGGGAATTGGTAAAAGAATTACTTCACATAAGTGTTTAGTAATTTACATTAACTTGAATGTCTTCCAGCTCTTTCAGTGTGCTTGAAACAGTTTCAAAATGTGTTGTACCTGGTAGGAAAGTACATGCAAAATTTGTTCCACGAAACCCAGACTCGTCGACCGGTATGTTTACCTACCTACTTCCCTTATCAACCCGTCCGACAAGTTTCACCGTTACCAACAACAACCCCTACATGAGGCATATTTCGAAAACTAAATTTTATTCAATTCTTTTAATATTTTTCTTTTTTTCATTAACTGGTTTTTTGTCTAGACATCTATTTCCTTTTTTTATTTTCTATTTATTTCTTTACTTATTTCCCGCACTATAAATTCTATCTTTCTTTCAATTTCTGTTTTCTCTTCTAGTTATCGTACAGACTTGCTCTTTTTTTTTAATCCTAGGTTTTCGAGTATGCCACGTTCGTTCCCAGCATCATTTTTTTCATTTTTTTTCCCTAAGTACCCGTTATCTCACATTCGTTCATTCTTTAACCAATTTTACCCCACTTCATCACCCCACCTTCAACCCCTCTACATTCCACCCCTTTTCATTACCTCAGGTTGGTATAAATACTGGTCCCAGCGCAATCAAAAACCATCTCTGACATTCCACCCACCAGCGGCAAGGGAGAGAGAGATCCTAACCTCCGAGCTACTAATCATCCTCTATTT